CAACATGGCGTCGCATTCAAAACGAAAGTTTGACGCAGCAGAAGCATTGCTTGTTTTGGATGATATAAGTAGCTGTGATGCCAGCGAAATATCAGAAAACGATGAGGAAGACTCTAATTGTGAGATTTTATCAGAATCTGAATCTTGTGAGTCCATGGATTTATCAGAAAGTGAGGTTGCAGTTGGGTCAGTTGTAACGCCTAGGCCATCGTCATTGTGTTTGGAGAAAGAGGTAGATGAAAAGTCAGAAAGTTTAGAATCTGAAAGTCCTGATGAAATTTCATTGGAAAGAGAAACAAATGTTTTCAAACCAGGGAAAGAGACAAGGAAAATTGGAAAAGGAAAAGCCGTTTCAAGATTTGCAGTAAGCAATGTGACACGTGGCCGACCGAAAAAACATATTCATGCTCAAAGCCAAAATCTTGCCAGCAAGGCATCCAAGAAATCAAGAAAGGAAGAGTCTCAGCACTCGAAGTGGGCTAATGATAAAAACTGGAACAAAACATGCTCTGAAAGGGCAATTCCACTGCTTGTTGGAAAACAAGGCCCACAAATGAGAAGGACAAGCCTCCCAGAAAAATTATCATCTAAAGTTTTTTTTGAGCAGTATTTCACTGATGAGGTATGGCAATTACTTGTTGACATGACAAATGCAAATGCTATTGGCAAAAATGTGTCTTCTTGGAAGAACATAAATGTAGCAGAGATGAAGGCATTCTTTGGGTTGTTACTAGCTATGGGCTTGTTGAAATTGCCTAAAATAAAGGACTATTGGAGAAAGATCAATTGGCTTATACATGTCAGTTCTTTTGGAGAGGTAATGCCAAGAGACAGGTTTTTGCAGCTGTATAGATATTTGCATGTTTGTAATGATAATCAGCAAATACCAAGAGGACAAGATGGTCATGATCCTCTATTCAAAATCAGGTCCTTTCTAAATTTGATCTCTGACAGGTTTAGAAATGTATATAAACCATCCAGAGACATATGCATTGATGAAAGCCTCATCCCATACAAAGGAAGAATTTACTTTCGTCAATTCATTCCTAGTAAAAGGGCACGATTTGGCATCAAAGCCTTTGTGTTATGTGAATCTGACACTGGGTATGTTAGTGAGATTGTCATCTATACAGGGAAAGATGCTAACCAAACAATTTCAAAAGGCCTAGCAGAGAAAGTAGTTTTGAAGCTCACTGAAGGCTACCAAGATGTAAATCATCATTTGTACTTGGACAATTATTACACCAAGGCTTGGTTGCTCAAATCCTTAGAGGAAAAGGGAATTTATGCAAGTGGAACAGCCAGAGTGGACAGAAGCGGATTTCCGAAGGAAATAGTGATTGCAAGTAAAAGAGGAAAAGATCGTGGATATTCAGATTGGAGAATGAATGGAAGTATTTTGGCCACATCATGGCTTGACAACAAAGGGGTACATTTTTTGTCTACAATACATGAGCCAGAATACAAAGATGATATCCAGGATAAAGAAAAAGTTGTGAAGCGCCGTGGTAAAAAAGGACACACGGGAGCAGTTGAAATACCTTGCCCACCTATTGTGCAGCCATATAACAAGAAAATGGGTGGTGTCGATTTTTGCGATCACATGATCAAATTTTACAACATTGGAAGAAGGTCAAGAAAATGGTACAGGAGGGTGCTTTTCCATATTCTTGAGCTGTGCATACATAATGCATTCATCTTGGGATCATGCTTCATCCCTCATGAAGTTGGCAAGAAAACTCCCAAGCGTCAAAACTTTCGTGAGGAGCTGATAGAGTTGCTGATAGGGCAATACCGTGCAAGAAAGCGCACTGTAGGTCGTCCATCTGTAGCACATGAAAATGAGCTCAGATTTCAGAATGTAGGAGTACATCTGCCTGTGTACAACACAGACAGAAAAGACTGCCAATTATGCAAAGAAACTGTGAAGTCAAGCAGAGGTGGAAAGATTGGCAAAATTGATCGACGTGCTGCAGGGGTTCATGTAACATACATATCCTGTGAGATGTGCAATGTACATCTTTGCTTGAATAAAGATAGGAACTGTTTTAAATTATGGCATACTAGAGTCTAATTTACTGGAACTCTTTCAAATCATTTGATTACTGAACATCTCAATTCATAAACTTTTTTTTGCATACTAACTTTTTTTGAATGAACTATTGTTTTGCTATTTTACCTAATATCGAGAATTCTTGAAAGTTTGGTCATAGCAATATCTTTTGGCTATAAGTAACATTATTTCTCTTGAAAGGTTTCCTTTTTTATTTCCTGTAAGTTACTTCAGGGATAGGTAATTTTCTTGTGATAGCAACTGGTATCAAAATAAGAACACGAGTCAAGCGGTTCAGAGCCAGATGATTCTTTAGTTGCAATAATTTACTGAAATAATAAAACAATTGAATATAATTTGGATTCCTGACTTTCTGATGATAGAACTTTATAGTAAATGCAATTTGCTTTGGTAGTGACCAGAACAATGTCCTCTTTTGGCTCCTAAATTATTGAAATGATGGGGAAAAAATTTTTTCGTCAGCCATTTTGAATTATTAATGAGATCACGTGATCATTAATTAGGTTAAATAATTTTTTTCTGGAATACTTCACAAACTGGCAATTCAAAAATATATACTTTACTGGGTCATAATGCACCATTATTCTTCCAAGAAAGACTTTTCTGATGCAAGTATATTGTATGCAAAAAAAACCCAGTCCTCTAAAGGTTAAAAAAAATTTTGTCCTTCAACAATATATTTTCATTCGAATTTTCCTCCAATAGACTTTTTCTAGCTTCCAAAAAGCTATCTATTTCATCATTAACTTTCTCCCGTAAACTTCTTGTATTCGCCCAAAATACTGTGTACAAGTTTCTACTGACAAAAAATTTGGTATGTCTTTTGAAAGTTCGCTATCTGTAACGCTTCGTGTAGTTGGAAAGAATCCATTCTCATACAAATAATCTTTATTCGCAATGCAGATTATTTTTTTTTCAGACTCTTTCGAAGAATTATCCAATAACGGTATATCGTATAACGATTCAAGGAGAATATGCCGTCGTTTTTCATCATCTGAACCATCAATATCTAAAACTTCTTCCCCCAAACTCAATTTTTCGCTTGGTAACGAGGTCAAACACATAACTTCAATTTCTCTTAAATATTTCTGTAATTGTAGCTTTAACAGAAAACTACTATGTGTTATCACCTCCAGAACTCTTTCAATATTTAAACGTTCGTCAATATATTCATCGTCTAAATTTAGTTCCGAACTTTCTTTAACCATCGATAATAAAAGATGATAATATCGGCTACGCCAACCCATCGAATTATACGTAAAGTTACTATATTCACTAATTGCAATTTTTTCCATTACTGGAAAAAACCGACGTTTAAAATATTCCATAGTATACGATTCGTAAATGTCTGGAACCTCTTCAACTATCGGTCTGTTTTTCACAATCGCCATTTCTAAACATAACTGTGAATAACGAAATAAAGTTTTTTCATCGTTAGACATAAAAGATTCAGGCTTCGGGTCAAACATACCCTCCAATCTTTTCTTCCATGCTTGCATAAACATTTGCACATCTTCCACATCTGCTTCCTCTGAGTAGGTTTCACGAAACATCGCCTCCAATCCATCCCGCATGTCCACAAACTTTTGGAAGTTATCGTGCTCAGCCATGGCTGATCAATCTGTCGTTACTCAGTCTGATCTCCGAATCTCCGAAGTTTTAAAAAACTTCAATTTTTCCTTTAAATTAATTTTAAATAAAAATTGAAGTTTCCAAAAAAAACTTGAAGTTTTTTAAAACTTAAAATTTTTTTAAATTTGAAGTTTGAAAATATCAATTTACAAATGTCAATCAAACTTAATAAACATCAATCACTTCTTTGTCCTTTTAACAATATCTTAAATCTGATTGGTTATTGATTTATCTATAAAAGAAGCGCTTTAGATTTGAAACGACACTCGATCGTAAGATCTATCGACGCAGACATCTTCAAGAATCGTCACTTCGAAAGACTTCAAACGAAGCCTTCAGCTACAACTTCGAATTTACAATTCAGCATCAAAGCAAGAAAAAAGCAAGTTCTACAATGACGTCTTCTACAGTCAAAGGTAGTTTTGAAATTAAAACTTCTCATGTCTTCCACGAAACTGTAATAAATCAACATTTATCGAAACAGTATGAGTTAAAGCTCTTTAGGTGGAACGATAATGTAAACACAGAATGTAATTCTAAATGGAAAGTTGGTTTAACCACTACAAATGTTTCAAAAAATGATGGCACTGTAGTAGACAGGAAGATTGAGAGTGACTTCGGAATCAGCGCCAGTAATTTTGAAAAAGTTACAACAATTTTCAAACAATTGAGAAATTTTGTTGAAAGAGAAGTTCAGGAAACCTATAACTCTGGAACGGCTGCTAGTACATTTGACTCATATCACAATCATTTGATGGAGAGGTTGAAAATTAAAGGTTGGATTCCTTTCCAGACAGTACCACTGTCTGTAAATGACAAAACAGCTATCGCTACCGGTACTACCAATTCTAACGTAAATCAGTTCTATACTCACGAAATTGTTAACTTCGTAAATAATGTTAAGAGTGTTAGAGAAAAAGATGAATTGATCGTTTTTTTCACAAAGCCCACTGAAGAACGAATAAATAGTATAAAAGCAGCATTTAAAAAGACCAAGAAGAAAGAGGAAGAGTTAAGATTGAGATATTTATTATCTCTTGTGAATTTGTCAGCCACCTTTCGTAGAGTTAGCGATCAGGCTGAACAAAATTTTGTTAAAATTGTATGTTTAAATCCGATAGCTTTTAAAGATTTATTATCCTATCTCGAACAAGATGATAACATAATATCCGAGCATTTGCCTCTGTCTCTAAGCTGTAATAACCAAGCAGCCATTTTGAAAGAATTACCAGGCGGACCAAACGAAGCTTTGCAATCATACATGCAAAAAATATCTGATGAACAATTTCAAAACAGACCAATAATGGAGGAGGAGTTGCCAAAATTGAGCAATTATTTACTTAAGAAAACAAAGACAAAAATTGCAAAAAAGGTAGAAAAAAATGCAGATGACGAGAATGATAGCGATCACTCCGTTCATGAGATATTTACCACACCATCACAACCTTTCACCGAAAGTAAACCCTTAAAAGCACCTAAAAAAATTAAAAGAAAATATAAAGAACTTATCAGCGACAATGAAGCCGATGATGAAGATTGTGAAGAAATAGAAAAAAAGAGAAAATCACTTCTAAAAAAAATCTCAAAAAAACTGGCAGTTGAAAGAAACTCTGATGAAGAAGAATAACAACTATAAACACTTAACTGTTTAGTATTATTAACTAGTAGTAGTTAACATTTAGATCGAATCAAAATGGATGATTATATGAATACAATAAACTCAAATCTATATCGTTATCACCTTCATAAAAAAAGGAAAGATTGTCTCGAAGAAAGAGAAAAAGATATCCTTTACAAGACATAACAGAAGAGTTAAGTTGTAAAAAAATAAACCAAACCAATACTAAGTTTATGATTCTGAAGTATTTCTGAAGTCAAAAAAAGGAAGGAAGGAATTTAATTATATCAATTTAAAGCTTCATTTTTGTTTATTCTGAATTTCACAATATTTGACAGATACCAATGTCACCATGATTGAAGACCATCGATATTTTACAAGAACGAACAGCAAAATAGAAGAAATTCATCCACATTCGATAAACTGCACAGGCTTTCAAAAAGTTAGCGTAAAAACAGAAGAAGACTTAGAAAAGTGCATTAAGCAGAGTCAATGTTTAGCAAATTTGGGACACGCTGTCGATATAACGGTTACTGATATGGAACAGAAAATTAAATACGAATTACCTGTAGCTTTATATTGCAAATTGTTATTAAGAAACAGTAAAGAAACGAAAATAGATCTTAAATATAAGACTACAGCGAGGTGTTTGGAATTGAAGATCGATAGAAATAACGTAATTTATGAAGATTTAGTTAAAGAAAAGAGTGTAATTAGAAACTCGTACTATTACGGTAGACGTCCTGATGGTTTACCTTCGATTATAGATTCGAGTTTAATTAACACTATGGTAGATAATTTACAGCATAGTTTAAATCTTCATTTTTTGGGTGATGATTATCGTACTACTGCAGAGGAAATTTACTATAAGTATCATGATGTTCATAACGATCCTCATGATTTAATTAATGAATAGCTCTCTTTATCTCTTTTTCTATATGTAATTTGTTTCAATAACTTCATTTTAGTATATGACCCGGATGAGCAACCAGAAAATATAATAGAAATACATTGCTACAGAAACTCTCAGCAACCGTTCTCACATATGCATATTGAATCGTCAACAGGACTTCAAAGAACTCCTAGAGATATTAGAAGCAACTATTTTTTAGCTCAAGTTAATAATAAAAAAGTAGTTATTTCAAAAGAAATGTTATATTTTCTAGTTGCTGATTCGTATGGGATTGATCTAGATTGGATTTTAAATCAATCAACATAAAATATATATTATCTTTTTATTAAGGAACTACCTACCCACCCGTTCCTTGGGCAAGATTGAGAGAGGTGTACTTGCAAAAAAAAGAACAGAAATTTAGAAATGAAGACACCGACGATGAAGAATTGATTGATGAAGAATTAAGTGATGAGGGGTATAATGGTGATTATGATCTCGATGATCTCGGCATATATGACGAATTTAACAATTATGATGATGATGATGATGATGAACTTGACGAATTTGAAGATTTAGTCCTTTATAGAGAGATGGACGAATATATACAATACTACAAACAATTTGTAGAACCTATGCATCAAAAATACGGCTCCCTCTTTAACCCACATCATGTACTATTATATGGTATTCCCCATATCTCGTATTTTGATGAAAAGTTAGGTTTAGTTTTTTCAAACCCTTTTTTGGGTACAACTGTATGGGGATGATCATTAACTTCTTTTTTTTTGTATATAATATTACTTTTTTAACGAAATGAGCGCTAGTCGTCATTGATCTTTTTTTATATATTATTACTCTATTGATTAACGACAATCTGCTTTAAGTTTGTCTTTTTCTAAGTTTTTCTTGCCCTATCTATAATTAATTGACACTAATATCAACTTATATTTCTTTCTCTTTTTTTTTTTAAACTTTAACCTCATCTTAATCCTTTTTGATGCTGTTGACTGTGATATATTTCTTAACTCTTCCAGAATTGCAAAGTCAACATAGTCACTTGCTTTCTTTTTCTAACTTACACAAACTAACTGTTGGAATGATCACTCGTCTCAGATGGTGATTCACTTTCCAATCTTATCCTATCTAATAACAATTAATTGTTGTCATGTCTTCGCACCGTTCGTAAACGTGGGCATCACAAGATTAACAACAATCTGCTTTAAGTTTTTCTCTGTACGCGTATCTGATTCTTCTTTAAAGTTTACATAGAATGGTGTCATATCTTCATCAATCTTGGCAGTTATTTCATAATTGGTATGAACGCTAGTCGTCATATCTTATATTTTATATCTTTTTTTATATATGTAAGTTTAGTATAATTAATTAAATTGGCATGAACGCTAGTCGTCATGTCATTTTTTTTATATTACGTGTTGAATGTAGAAAAGATGTAGAAAAACAAATTATTTTATGTATATAATATCATGATTTAGAAATCGACATGAGTTTTTACTTCGTGTTTAAAAAACTGCATATGTTTCTCATCACTATAACTATGGAAATGAATGTTCAAAACTTTGGTAAACAATGTATCACCAACTGCTTCCCTAACCCATGAAACCTCAGGTCTTTCGCAGCAATTATTTTTCTTGAATATTTTCTCATCATCTGTAAAAACAGAAATAATCACTTTCTTCCCGAGATAAAAATTTGATGTTTGAAATTCTATGTGAAGGAATCTATCATAAGCCAGCATTTTTCTCATAGCGATAGCCAATTCGTTGGCATCTGCAGCAGATCCTACCTCAACATCAAAACTCTTAATTTTTATCCCATCTTCAAAGCAATAGATGTAGGAAAAGAAACAGAACAACAAAATCACTTGCGATATGAAACTAGACATCTTGACACTCTCAGCTCTCTTGAAACAGTCAAAACGAAAAAGAAAATCAGTTTTATATAACTTTTTGTGATTTTAGTTCAAGTTATTTTTTTTTTAAAACAGTCTTTACAATTTTGCCTCTGCGGAGCAGCCTACCACGTGGTCTTATACAAGACCCTACGCAGGAGCGCTAGGTTTAATATGCAACAGGTGGAACCCTAGTATACACTACTTATGATATGCGTCTATGTTTTGGCATGCCATGGGTTTTTACTGGTGATGCACCTATAGCCATAAGACTATCATTGAGAGCGTCCCTATTTTGTTCTTGAGTAAAGGAGCTATCCAGTTCACCAATGTCCTTATCCTCGAATGACTTTGAATCAACTTCTATCGTAAGGCCAGTTTCTTTCAGTGTTGCTGTGGCTCTGTCAAAACACTTTCTACACAACTTCCAACCAGGCACTGACTCAATATTATGCTCAGCAAGTTGCCTTGCTAGCAATAGTGATATTTTATGGCCCCCCTTCACCAACTTGGTATGAACATTGAATATGTTGCAGCACTTTGTATGTCTTTTTTATAAAACATCTTTTTTATATTTATATCATACTGTCTCTTCATAAGTTCACGTTCTTCAAAGAGATTATTCGTTTTACAATAATCAAATAACTCCCCCAAAAGCTCATCCGCATTCAAATCACGATTCCTTGTGGCGAGTGTATAAAATTCTTTTTCGATAATCTCTATAGCGTCAGACTTCGACAAATTGCTTGCACGATAGATGTTAAAAAAAATTTTGTCCTTCAACAATATATTTTCATTCGAATTTTCCTCCAATAGACTTTTTCTAGCTTCCAAAAAGCTATCTATTTCATCATTAACTTTCTCCCGTAAACTTCTTGTATTCGCCCAAAATACTGTGTACAAGTTTCTACTGACAAAAAATTTGGTATGTCTTTTGAAAGTTCGCTATCTGTAACGCTTCGTGTAGTTGGAAAGAATCCATTCTCATACAAATAATCTTTATTCGCAATGCAGATTATTTTTTTTTCAGACTCTTTCGAAGAATTATCCAATAACGGTATATCGTATAACGATTCAAGGAGAATATGCCGTCGTTTTTCATCTGAACCATCAATATCTAAAACTTCTTCCCCCAAACTCAATTTTTCGCTTGGTAACGAGGTCAAACACATAACTTCAATTTCTCTTAAATATTTCTGTAATTGTAGCTTTAACAGAAAACTACTATGTGTTATCACCTCCAGAACTCTTTCAATATTTAAACGTTCGTCAATATATTCATCGTCTAAATTTAGTTCCGAACTTTCTTTAACCATCGATAATAAAAGATGATAATATCGGCTACGCCAACCCATCGAATTATACGTAAAGTTACTATATTCACTAATTGCAATTTTTTCCATTACTGGAAAAAACCGACGTTTAAAATATTCCATAGTATACGATTCGTAAATGTCTGGAACCTCTTCAACTATCGGTCTGTTTTTCACAATCGCCATTTCTAAACATAACTGTGAATAACGAAATAAAGTTTTTTCATCATTAGACATAAAAGATTCAGGCTTCGGGTCAAACATACCCTCCAATCTTTTCTTCCATGCTTGCATAAACATTTGCACATCTTCCACATCTGCTTCCTCTGAGTAGGTTTCACGAAACATCGCCTCCAATCCATCCCGCATGTCCACGAACTTTTGGAAGTTATCGTGCTCAGCCATGGCTGATCAATCTGTCGTTACTCAGTCAGATCTCCGAATCTCCGAAGTTTTAAAAAACTTCAATTTTTCCTTTAAATTAATTTTAAATAAAAATTGAAGTTTCCAAAAAAAACTTGAAGTTTTTTAAAACTTCAAATATTTTTAAATTTGAAGTTTGAAAATATCAATTTGCAAATGTCAATCAAACTTAAGAAACATCAATCACTTCTTTGTCCTTTTAACAATATCTTAAATCTGATTGGTTATTGATTTATCTATAAAAGAAGCGCTTTAGATTTGAAACGACACTCGATCGTAAGATCTATCGACGCAGACATCTTCAAGAATCGTCACTTCGAAAGACTTCAAACGAAGCCTTCAGCTACAACTTCGAATTTACAATTCAGCATCAAAGCAAGAAAAAAGCAAGTTCTACAATGACGTCTTCTACAGTCAAAGGTAGTTTTGAAATTAAAACTTCTCATGTCTTCCACGAAACTGTAATAAATGAACATTTATCGAAACAGTATGAGTTAAAGCTCTTTAGGTGGAACGATAATGTAAACACAGAATGTAATTCTAAATGGAAAGTTGGTTTAACCACTACAAATGTTTCAAAAAATGATGGCACTGTAGTAGACAGGAAGATTGAGAGTGACTTCGGAATCAGCGCCAGTAATTTTGAAAAAGTTACAACAATTTTCAAACAATTGAGAAATTTTGTTGAAAGAGAAGTTCAGGAAACCTATAACTCTGGAACGGCTGCTAGTACATTTGACTCATATCACAATCATTTGATGGAGAGGTTGAAAATTAAAGGTTGGATTCCTTTCCAGACAGTACCACTGTCTGTAAATGACAAAACAGCTATCGCTACCGGTACTACCAATTCTAACGTAAATCAGTTCTATACTCACGAAATTGTTAACTTCGTAAATAATGTTAAGAGTGTTAGAGAAAAAGATGAATTGATCGTTTTTTTCACAAAGCCCACTGAAGAACGAATAAATAGTATAAAAGCAGCATTTAAAAAGACCAAGAAGAAAGAGGAAGAGTTAAGATTGAGATATTTATTATCTCTTGTGAATTTGTCAGCCACCTTTCGTAGAGTTAGCGATCAGGCTGAACAAAATTTTGTTAAAATTGTATGTTTAAATCCGATAGCTTTTAAAGATTTATTATCCTATCTCGAACAAGATGATAACATAATATTCGAGCATTTGCCTCTGTCTCTAAGCTGTAATAACCAAGCAGCCATTTTGAAAGAATTACCAGGCGGACCAAACGAAGCTTTGCAATCATACATGCAAAAAATATCTGATGAACAATTTCAAAACAGACCAATAATGGAGGAGGAGTTGCCAAAATTGAGCAATTATTTACTTAAGAAAACAAAGACAAAAATTGCAAAAAAGGTAGAAAAAAATGCAGATGACGAGAATGATAGCGATCACTCCGTTCATGAGATATTTACCACACCACCATCACAACCTTTCACCGAAAGTAAACCCTTAAAAGCACCTAAAAAAATTAAAAGAAAATATAAAGAACTTATCTAAATTTTTTTACTATTAAAAAATTTGAAGTTTTAAAAAACTTCAATTTTTCCTTTAAATTAATTTTAAATAAAAATTGAAGTTTCCAAAAAAAACTTGAAGTTTTTTAAAACTTCAAATATTTTTAAATTTGAAGTTTGAAAATATCAATTTGCAAATGTCAATCAAACTTAAGAAACATCAATCACTTCTTTGTCCTTTTAACAATATCTTAAATCTGATTGGTTATTGATTTATCTATAAAAGAAGCGCTTTAGATTTGAAACGACACTCGATCGTAAGATCTATCGACGCAGACATCTTCAAGAATCGTCACTTCGAAAGACTTCAAACGAAGCCTTCAGCTACAACTTCGAATTTACAATTCAGCATCAAAGCAAGAAAAAAGCAAGTTCTACAATGACGTCTTCTACAGTCAAAGGTAGTTTTGAAATTAAAACTTCTCATGTCTTCCACGAAACTGTAATAAATGAACATTTATCGAAACAGTATGAGTTAAAGCTCTTTAGGTGGAACGATAATGTAAACACAGAATGTAATTCTAAATGGAAAGTTGGTTTAACCACTACAAATGTTTCAAAAAATGATGGCACTGTAGTAGACAGGAAGATTGAGAGTGACTTCGGAATCAGCGCCAGTAATTTTGAAAAAGTTACAACAATTTTCAAACAATTGAGAAATTTTGTTGAAAGAGAAGTTCAGGAAACCTATAACTCTGGAACGGCTGCTAGTACATTTGACTCATATCACCATCATTTGATGGAGAGGTTGAAAATTAAAGGTTGGATTCCTTTCCAGACAGTACCACTGTCTGTAAATGACAAAACAGCTATCGCTACCGGTACTACCAATTCTAACGTAAATCAGTTCTATACTCACGAAATTGTTAACTTCGTAAATAATGTTAAGAGTGTTAGAGAAAAAGATGAATTGATCGTTTTTTTCACAAAGCCCACTGAAGAACGAATAAATAGTATAAAAGCAGCATTTAAAAAGACCAAGAAGAAGGAGGAAGAGTTAAGATTGAGATATTTATTATCTCTTGTGAATTTGTCAGCCACCTTTCGTAGAGTTAGCGATCAGGCTGAACAAAATTTTGTTAAAATTGTATGTTTAAATCCGATAGCTTTTAAAGATTTATTATCCTATCTCGAACAAGATGATAACATAATATCCGAGCATTTGCCTCTGTCTCTAAGCTGTAATAACCAAGCAGCCATTTTGAAAGAATTACCAGGCGGACCAAACGAAGCTTTGCAATCATACATGCAAAAAATATCTGATGAACAATTTCAAAACAGACCAATAATGGAGGAGGAGTTGCCAAAATTGAGCAATTATTTACTTAAGAAAACAAAGACAAAAATTGCAAAAAAGGTAGAAAAAAATGCAGATGACGAGAATGATAGCGATCACTCCGTTCATGAGATATTTACCACACCACCATCACAACCTTTCACCGAAAGTAAACCCTTAAAAGCACCTAAAAAAATTAAAAGAAAATATAAAGAACTTATCAGCGACAATGAAGCCGATGATGAAGATTGTGAAGAAATAGAAAAAAAGAGAAAATCACTTCTAAAAAAAATCTCAAAAAAACTGGCGGTTGAAAGAAACTCTGATGAAGAAGAATAACAACTATAAACACTTAACTGTTTAGTATTATTAATTAGTAGTAGTTAACATTTATATTAAACTACAAATTAGTTTGTTCGTATGATTTTTTTTAACATTTAGATCGAATCAAAATGGATGATTATATGAATACAATAAACTCAAATCTATATCGTTATCACCTTCATAAAAAAAAGGAAAGATTGTCTCGAAGAAAGAGAAAAAGATATCCTTTACAAGACATAACAGAAGAGTTAAGTTGTAAAAAAATAAACCAAACCAATACTAAGTTTATGATTCTGAAGTATTTCTGAAGTCAAAAAAAGGAAGGAAGGAATTTAATTATATCAATTTAAAACTTCATTTTTGTTTATTCTGAATTTCACAATATTTGACAGATACCAATGTCACCATGATTGAAGACCATCGATATTTTACAAGAACGAACAGCAAAATAGAAGAAATTCATCCACATTCGATAAACTGCACAGGCTTTCAAAAAGTTAGCGTAAAAACAGAAGAAGACTTAGAAAAGTGCATTAAGCAGAGTCAATGTTTAGCAAATTTGGGACACGCTGTCGATATAACGGTTACTGATATGGAACAGAAAATTAAATACGAATTACCTGTAGCTTTATATTGCAAATTGTTATTAAGAAACAGTAAAGAAACGAAAATAGATCTTAAATATAAGACTACAGCGAGGTGTTTGGAATTGAAGATCGATAGAAATAACGTAATTTATGAAGATTTAGTTAAAGAAAAGAGTGTAATTAGAAACTCGTACTATTACGGTAGACGTCCTGATGGTTTACCTTCGATTATAGATTCGAGTTTAATTAACACTATGGTAGATAATTTACAGCATAGTTTAAATCTTCATTTTTTGGGTGATGATTATCGTACTACTGCAGAGGAAATTTACTATAAGTATCATGATGTTCATAACGATCCTCATGATTTAATTAATTAATAGCTCTCTTTATCTCTTTTTCTATATGTAATTTGTTTCAATAACTTCATTTTAGTATATGACCCGGATGAGCAACCAGAAAATATAATAGAAATACATTGCTACAGAAACTCTCAGCAACCGTTCTCACATATGCATATTGAATCGTCAACAGGACTTCAAAGAACTCCTAGAGATATTAGAAGCAACTATTTTTTAGCTCAAGTTAATAATAAAAAAGTAGTTATTTCAAAAGAAATGTTATATTTTCTAGTTGCTGATTCGTATGGGATTGATCTAGATTGGATTTTAAATCAATCAACATAAAATATATATTATCTTTTTATTAAGGAACTACCTACCCACCCGTTCCTTGGGCAAGATTGAGAGAGGTGTACTTGCAAAAAAAAGAACAGAAATTTAGAAATGAAGACACCGACGATGAAGAATTAATTGATGAAGAATTAAGTGATGAGGGGTATAATGGTGATTATGATCTCGATGATCTCGGCATATATGACGAATTTAACAATTATGATGATGATGATGATGATGAACTTGACGAATTTGAAGATTTAGTCCTTTATAGAGAGATGGACGAATATATACAATACTACAAACAATTTGTAGAACCTATGCATCAAAAATACGGCTCCCTCTTTAACCCACATCATGTACTATTATATGGTATTCCCCATATCTCGTATTTTGATGAAAAGTTAGGTTTAGTTTTTTCAAACCCTTTTTTGGGTACAACTGTATGGGGATGATCATTAACTTCTTTTTTTTTGTATATAATATTACTTTTTTAACGAAATGAACGCTAGTCGTCATTGATCTTTTTTTATATATTATTACTCTATTGATTAACGACAATCTGCTTTAAGTTTGTCTTTTTCTAAGTTTTTCTTGCCCTATCTATAATTAATTGACACTAATATCAACTTATATTTCTTTCTCTTTTTTTTTAAACTTTAACCTCATCTTAATCCTTTTTGATGCTGTTGACTGTGATATATTTCTTAACTCTTCCAGAATTGCAAAGTCAACATAGTCACTTGCTTTCTTTTTCTAACTTACACAAACTAACTGTTGGAATGATCACTCGTCTCAGATGGTGATTCACTTTCCAATCTTATCCTATCTAATAACAATTAATTGTTGTCATGTCTTCGCACCGTTCGTAAACGTGGGCATCACAAGATTAACAACAATCTGCTTTAAGTTTTTCTCTGTACGCGTATCTGATTCTTCTTTAAAGTTTACATAGAATGGTGTCATATCTTCATCAATCTTGGCAGTTATTTCATAATTGGTATGAACGCTAGTCGTCATATCTTATATTTTATATCTTTTTTATATATGTAAGTTTAGTATAATTAATTAAATTGGCATGAACGCTAGTCGTCATGTCATTTTTTTTATATTACGTGTTGAATGTAGAAAAGATGTAGAAAAACAAATTATTTTATGTATATAATATCATGATTTAGAAATCGACATGAGTTTTTACTTCGTGTTTAAAAAACTGCATATGTTTCTCATCACTATAACTATGGAAATGAATGTTCAAAACTTTGGTAAACAATGTATCACCAACTGCTTCCCTAACCCATGAAACCTCAGGTCTTTCGCAGCAATTATTTTTCTTGAATATTTTCTCATCATCTGTAAAAACAGAAATAATCACTTTCTTCCCGAGACAAAAATTTGATGTTTGAAATTCTATGTGAAGGAATCTATCATAAGCCAGCATTTTTCTCATAGCGATAGCCAATTCGTTGGCATCTGCAGCAGATCCTACCTCAACATCAAAACTCTTAATTTTTATCCCATCTTCAAAGCAATAGATGTAGGAAAAGAAACAGAACAACAAAATCACTTGCGATATGAAACTAGACATCTTGACACTCTCAGCTCTCTTGAAACAGTCAAAACGAAAAAGAAAATCAGTTTTATATAACTTTTTGTGATTTTAGTTCAAGTTATTTTTTTTTAAAACAGTCTTTACAATTTTGCCTCTGCGGAGCAGCCTACCACGTGGTCTTATACAAGACCCTACGCAGGAGCGCTAGGTTTAATATGCAACAGGTGGAACCCTACTATACACTACTCTCCAGAAGATAGATTTTCCATCCCAACACCAATTGCACATGCGAAACTTTGCTTTATAGTTCCTAGAGTTTTCTCTATCTTCTTTTTCGCATATGATATGCGTCTATGTTTTGGCATGCCATGGGTTTTTACTGGGGATGCACCTATAGCCATGACTATCATTGAGAGCCTCCCTATTTTGTTCTTGAGTAAAGGAGCTATCCAGTTCACCAATGTCCTTATCCTCGAATGACTTTGAATCAACTTCTATCGTAAGGCCAGTTTCTTTCAGTGTTGCTGTGGCTCTGTCAAAACACTTTCTACACAACTTCCAACCACGCACTGACTCAATATTATGCTCAGCAAGTTGCCTTGCTAGCAATAGTGATATTTTATGGCCACCCTTCACCAACTTGGTATGAACATTGAATATGTTGCAGCACTTTGTATGTTGGCTTTCAAATGCAGAACCCTACTTAGCTTCATTATGAAAGCAAATATGTTTCACCTCATCTGCGCCCCTTAATCCAGCTCGATATAATAAAACACTACACACCTCAGGATCTAACTCAGACATAATTTTCATTCCATTCTTCCGAACAAAATGTGTTTTATGACATTCTTCTTTCAAGTGAATACCAAAATCGCATTTTTCCATTGTCAACTCAGATAAAAAAGTCTGAACTTCTTAAACGACACAGAAAACCAAAGTTGACAATTCAGAGTCTCAGTAATTCCATCAAGCAGTGAAGACATACCAGGAAAAACAACCCATTAAGAACTTCCTGCAGCAGTGCTTTAGCAATAGTGTCAAGGAAACAGATGATTATCAGCTTCCTGAATAACCAATTAAGGTGTCATCAAGGGCTATTCGAATATACTTCAACAAAGCGGGGGTGTGAACACAAGGAAAATATTGAATTTGAAGGCAAATAATAAAGAGCTCAAGAATGATGCAGATTGAAAAAAACGGGGGAAGTTCTAGCGATAGTGACAGCGATAGAAGAGGTTCTGTACAGTTTTTTCCCAAATGTTTTAAATTACATTTGATAGCAGGTCAGAAGTAGGGGAGGGGGAGAGGGGGCTGACAGATAAAAAAGGTAGCAAAACACACCCTTCCACACTTCCTTTGAAAGTATTACCTTTGCAAATCTAAAATTGGCAGAATATATGATATAAGCCCTGAATATAACAAAATAGCACCAGAAAAGTGGAAATATAAATGAAACTTAAAATAAAATCTAAAGGAATCCAAGTTAGAAGAGCAATACTGCCTCGTGTCATATATTAAACCAATTTCTAAGCAATTGAAGAAAGATATAAATTATAAAAGAATGAAAACCCAATGGTATGTTTAATATGAGGATTATTCCAGTCTTTGTACTTCAACATGAGATTATACTTCAACATACAAACGATAGTATGCTGTTAAGTCTGTCAGCTTTGATAAGGTTCTGATTAAAGACTATGTAGTTTAAAATCAAACCAAATATCTGTGTATTCAATAACTTTTTAAAGCATAATAACTTTGACCCAGAAAACAAGTTCTGTGAATATTGTCATGTGATGTGCATTGATTAATCATATGCAAACAATGAAAATGACAATTCGCTAAAAATTACATGTTTTCCATATTTGAATATTTTAAAAAATGTGCAAAGGCAATTGATAGATCACCTATTTTTAGATTCCCCAACTCATATAGATTCAAAATATGTACAAGTTAATCCAAAAAGAGGTCATAGACATCAACATTTTTAGCACTTTGCATGTAGTGGTTTTTGGTGTTTTCGCAGCATATAAAAACGGTTTTCAGCATAGGATAAATGTATTTTCACACAAAGCAGAGTGATTCTGACCACATATTTGAATTCTACAGCTTAAATCACCTCTAGTCACCAAATTTCAGCAGATTATGACAGAAATTTATAACACAGTTACCATTTAAACATTCACTGCACAGAAATTTTAAGCTGTAACGGTTCACTATTTACACTGAAACCTAGTCAACTTCAAATACCCATATTTCCTAAACGGTTTGTCATTTTAAGATGAAATTTTGAATTGCTTTATATCATACTCATATCTCCATTTGTGACAAAAATCAGCAAGACTTGAGAAAGTGGGTTACAAAAGTTGGAAAAATCTGATGATTTGATATGGAATGACTCATACCATTGATTTCTGTAGCTTAAAGGACAGGCATGTTGATCTTCTTTTGACTTGAAAAAGAAAAAAAGACTGTATAAGCATTGACAGCTGGATCTCTAACTTTTAAAGATATATTATAAAGAAAATAAGTACTATATTCCCCACAAACATTACTGCTGTCGTCTTAAATTTGAGGATCAAAATATCTAATTGTTTGACTAGTTTTAAACCTTTTTGCATCCTCTCTAGCTTGTTTCAAAGTACTCGCAGTCATATGTTTGACAGCTGATCTAATGTTAAAATCGTATAAAACGAAATAATAATATAGTGTTCTAACAAGATGTTGAAATTCGGAAAAATAATTTATTGGGTTTTCTTTCGTAAGAATCGAAAAATATGACATTCCAAGTCTATCACAGTATAAAGCTTGCCAATGTAATCCACCATTTTGATGGTCACCAGTATTTAGAAAAAACCCAATTGGGAAACTTTTATCATTTATTATCTTGTAAAAATGTTGTTATGACGAAGGTTTTTATTGACTGAAATTGTGTAATATTTGTATACAGTCATCTTCTGCAAACCCGCCTCCATATTCTTTTTCTAGATCAGGTGTTGAAGAAAGATATTTCAATATTTGAATAATCTCTATTTGCAACGCATACTATTTACTGTGTGAGATTACTGCTTAGTGAGTTTGTCAAAGATTCATCCAAAAGTGGAACATTATATAAAGATGCGAATAATTTACTGTCCTCAATCTTTTCACAATCAGTCATAAATGATTCATATTTATCAGTCCATTTTGGACTTGGAAGAGGTGTCAAACACATCATTTTGACGTCTCGTAAATATTCTAGTAGTTGTATTTTTAACAAAAACGTGTTACGAGTAATAACTTCTAACAACCTTTCAATGGATAATGTTTCATCTTCAAGTTCTTCTCGAGAATCGAATCCATAACCATCCTTCACCATAGATGATAGTGACAACTTCGCCATTACATCGAACTACAGTAAAAGTTTTAGTAACAATGCTGGTTTTTCTGAACATCAAAGCAGCAACATGGTGACTCTCATGCACAATTTTTCAAGAGGGTTGAAAGGCAAATGCTTTTTCTAAGAAAATAGTGAAAAGAAAACTAAATACAATTCAAAATATCTTCTAGTTACTATCCAGTGTCATACTAAGTTTTATCATTATTATTTCTTGTGAGACTATTGCCACGGAAATGAGAAATCTAGTAACAATGCTGGTTTTTCTGAACATCAATGCATCAACATGGTGACTCTCATGCACAATTTTTCAAGAGGGTTGAAAGGCAAATGCTTTTCCTAAGAAATTATTGAAAAGAAAACTAAATACAATTTAAAATATCTTCTAGTTACTATCCAGTGTCATACCATGTTTTATCATTATTACTTCTTGTGAGACTGTTGCCAGGAAAATGAAGAACATCTAGTAACAATGCTGGTTTTCTGAACATCAATATGGTGACTCTCATGCACAATTTTTCAAGAGAGTTGAAAGGCAAATGCTTTTCCTAAGAAATTATTGAAAAGAAAACTATATACAATTCAAAATATCTTCTAGTTACTATCCAGTGTCATACAATGTTTTATCATTATTACTTCTTGTGAGACTATTGCCACGGAAATGAGAAATGTAGTAACAATGCTGGTTTTTCTGAACATCAATGCATCAACATGGTGACTCTCATGCACAATTTTTCAAGAGGGTTGAAAGGCAAATGCTTTTTCTAAGAAAATAGTGAAAAGAAAACTAAATACAATTTAAAATATCTTCTAGTTACTATCCAGTGTCATACTATGTTTTATCATTATTACTTCTTGTGAGACTATTGCCACGGAAATGAGAAATCTAGTAACAATGCTGGTTTTTCTGAACATCAAAGCAGCAACATGGTGACTCTCATGCACAATTTTTCAAGAGGGTTGAAAGGCAAATGCTTTTTCTAAGAAAATAGTGAAAAGAAAACTAAATACAATTCAAAATATCTTCTAGTTACTATCCAGTGTCATACTATGTTTTATCATTATTATTTCTTGTGAGACTATTGCTAGAAAATGAAGCATTTTGTATAAAATGCTGGTATCTAACAACATCACAATCAATTAATGTGTGTATAATCGAGATAAGCTGATTAATTATTGAATCACTGGGATGAAAACCAGATTATTTTCCTTCACTGGCTTTCTGGGTCAAGTTTTGTATGACAAATAATAACTGTGTACATTTATAAACCATAATTAGAAAACACATACATGATCAAACAAATTTTTCTCTAGAATATTCGCTGCCCTTCGGCAGCCTCCTCAGTAAGAATCGAGTTAGACTCTTGCATTCTACTAAAGGTCGTTGTTTTTCGGCTCCATTGATTTGCTGCATCAAATTTTATTTCTTTGTTGCGTAGACTGTTTGAATTACACCATTCTTCATTGCTGCTTAGTTCCTAGTTTAATTCTTTAATAAATACAGCCTATGTTACTTGTGTAGCATTGCATCATTGCCACAAGGCGCAAGTATTTTAATTGTTTATTTTGCTGTGGTGTTTTTCTTCAACGTGCTTGTGGAAAATTGAGGTTTTGTCGCCTGCCTCATATTTAGTTAAATGTTTGTTTATTCTTTTTCCTATGCTTCTCGCCGTTTCACCAATCATTATTTTCTTGTTTGGTACACCCTTGGCATTTCATTCGGTAGACAACACCTTACAGTTAACACCCGAGTCCAGTTGGCATACTTTGCATTTGTCCTAATTGCATGTTGGTTTTCGAAACGGATAAGATTTAGCCAGTGATTTAGCCAATTTTTCCCGCTAATATACCTAATTCTTCAACTGCATGGCCTTGTGATAACGTACAAAATGCTGGAGATGAAAAGAAATCTTACAATGTCTGCATTATTCAGTGCAAAGAAAAGCAAACTCCAAAAAAAGATGCAACATATTCAAGCGCGTCGAGTCCTTCGTAGGCCACGATCGACCTGGGTTGCCAATGGCCGTACAGACCATTGGCCGTAAAGATGTGCCAAAATACTGCTGGAAGAAGAATTTTCGTATGTCAAGAATTTCGTTCATGAGCCTGGCTGATGAACTGAGACCTTCTATTGGGCCTAGAAATGGCAGCCCAAACTATCGAGGTCTCACAACTGACAAAAAGCTGGCAATCACCTTATCTCAATTACCTCAAAGAAACAAGCTCTCTATGGATGACTGCTAACACTTTTGGGATACATCAATGCACAGTTTAAAAGACAGTTTATTGTGTTTGTTCTGCAATTTGCATAAATTTAGGACCAAAATATTTACATTTGCCTAGAGATATGTGACATTAAGTTTCAGAATTCGAACTGAAATTTGGCATGATTCAGGCATTTGGGTGCATAGATGGGACCCATATTCCTATGAAGAGACCTATAAGAAACTCCCAAGACTATTTCAACTATAAACAGTTCTTCTCATTAAACATCCAAGCAGTTAGTGATGCTAATGGCCAGTTTGTCAATGTCGAGTGCAAGTGGCCTGGATCAGTTCATGATGCCAAGGTTTTTGCCAATTCAGATATCAACGTGAAACTTTACAGAGCTCAGCTTCCCCTGAAGTTTAGCACTGTTCTTCCTAGATTCGAGGCAGTCCCAGACGATCTTATTGGTGATAAAGCTTATCCCTTAACCCCTTTCTGCATGAAAGAGTACCAAACTTGTGCAAGCAATGAAGACGTTTTATTCAATACCATGCTCAGGTTCGCAAGAAACCAAATAGAATGTGCCTTTGGACGCTTCAAGGCCAGGTGGAGATTTCTAACTCGTATTGTGGATATTAGATTTCTAACTCGTATTTATGAGGCAAAATGGTCATGTGATCATTGAAAGACACTTGCCCTTATTTGAACCATGTGAATATGGAAAGAAACCTGCCCTTATTTGGATGTCAATTATTGGAAATTATTGGATAACGATGATTAATTGTCAAAATTAACTAATCATCCAATCTACTAATTAAAATGATACGCTTGATTCAAAAACCTAAAATTAAGAAACTGAACACGAAGATTGGAATTAAAAGATAGTTAGAAAAATGAAAAATTGAAAGTTACAGTCTCTCTAACTCTACTGCTCCTTGTGTTCCTTGGTTTCCTGTAGAGATGCATGAATTTTGTTTTTTGCTATAAATTCAGTTTTCTTGCTCGTCATCAGCATCTGGTAAGAGAATTAAGGTAACTTCTTCAGATCTTTTTGTCTTATTACATTTATTCTTTAGCTGTTTTTTGCCCTGGGAGCTTCCATTTCGAGGCGCTGTATGCTGCCATAATTGTTTGGTAGATTCTGTTGAAAAAATTATCAAAAAAATTATTGACTGCATTCCAATTGTGAACATGGAAAGGGTTACAAAAATATAATTTTGATAACGTTTAGAGAATCCTTTTGCCTAATGTCATAGAAAGAAGTAGCAATGCGTCGTATAAGAAAAAAATTCAGGTGTTGTTCTTTGCAAAGCGAATATGTTTGAATTCCTGAAGATAGTATTCCAGATAGGAAGAGTACTTTCTTTCACCTCTCCTCTGAAATGAAGGATGACTGTTTTCTCTTCGTTGTTCATTTTTAGTTCGTTTTTAGTTCGTTGGTTTAGGGAAGAGAAGAGTGTTTCTTAAATATGGGTACAGGACAATAGGCACCCATATAAATATATATACCTAAGATAGAAATGTGGTAGAGGCTCCCCCCCCCCCTTCCTAGCGATAGTCACAAGAGGGCGAATTTTTTACGCACAGGAGTGCAAGTATTTTTTTATCACGTGATATGTACAGAGCTAATTATTTTCAAATCGAGGTTGATACATCTCTTGTCTTTTGAAGGCTAATCTTTCTGGTTGTAGGGGGCTGTTCTTGTCTTTCCTAGGCTAATGTTACTATTATCCATTAGGCAGGGGGCCCATGTAGCAGGCTTTACTGGAAGCTAGTCTTCTGTTTATCTTTTGTGGCAACCACTGTATGGTTGTAACGCTGCTGCTATAATGCGTGCGTCACGACCTCGCTTTGGTGCTGATCAGAGATAGGTGTGGTAGTTATTCGTTCTTCTATGAAATCACATGTCCTGTGCAGGGTCCATCTGATTTTTTGAGATGGAGGCTAATATAGATCTTGTCTTTCCAAGGCTAATGTTACTATTGTCTGGGGTCAGGGTGGGCTAGGTATGGGGCTTTATTGTATGGTTATTGTATAGGTAATAATCATTTTTCTATTTGTGTGGCTGATAGTCATAGGGAAATGGAGACAGCCTGCGTAGCGGGCATTCTAATGGGCCAGTTATCTAATTAAAGTCCAACAGATAAATTAACTCCAGATTTCTTGAAATATTCCCGTGTACTCAAGTAGCTTTCTTTTAATGACTCAAATAGTTTTCCCTTAGTGGAAAGGCTGTGCTAATTTTTGCATTTTGAAAGCAGTGGAAAAATAAGTATTGCTCAATACATTAGATTTGTAACCATTCGTTTATAATCATAACAATCATACCTTGGTTTTATTGCAATAAACGACTTTAGCAAAGTGGCTCATATTGATTCTTTGTTGTATCCTCCTCTATCCAGATGGAACTTGATAGATAAATGTAAAGAAAACATCATTTATAGGTAATTTTTGGAAAGGTAACATATAAGGTAAAACGGTATAATTGCAGGAAATAATTAAATGGCCCCCCCCCTTTGTTTTGGTTTAAATTGGAGGGATAAATCCTTATCAGATAAAGGTTCTCCGGCGGTGTAGAATAGGGAAGGATTCCATAAAAAGAAACAGAATCACAGAAGGAGCTGTAACATGCACGATTGTTTTTTAGAAGAATCCACCAAAAATCCCTAAAAATCCTATTGTTTTAAAAATCTCGTGCACTGCTTGGCAAGAGTGATAGACCCCTCGTGGCCCTCTGTAAACGTCTGGTAAATGCTAAAGGGGTTTAAAGTGCGAAAGCAGAAAAGTAGAAAACCGAAATATGATCTTTGAATCTGGAAATATAAGTCAAACAAAAAAACAAATCAATATTATGAGGAATGAAGTATAAAGAAATAGTTAAAGAGCATTCCTAGTGCTTATGCAGCAAAATTTACCATTCCAATATTTTAAAAGAAATCTATAGAATCCTTTGCCCTTGGTCTTATACAAAAAACAAAATTCCGATAAGTTAAATGGTTCTTTTTTTATTGAATGTCAAAGTATGCGTATTTTACAGTAGTGTTGCAAAATTTTATTTCCTGCTGTGACGTCACAGTGATGAGTCGAGGCGAAACCATTTAGTCAGGCCTATTAAATCATTTATTAGGTCGAATTGTGCAAATTGTGATACTAGCATGACACTTTGCATTAATGGACAGTTTGATACGCTGAAAAAGATAGGATAGGGACCCAAACTGAAAATTGCCCCCTTCAGCTATTTTTAGCTGGGGTATTTTGCCCCAAGACTCTAGCGGTGATATTACGATATCTCTGCTGTAAGTAAGTACAATAACATGAAACTTTGTAACAAGTGACAGTCTGATACGCTAAAAATGAAAGGATAAAGACCCCAACTGAAAATTTCCCCCTTGTACTATTTTCAGATTGGGGTACTTTGTCCTAGGCCTTTATTGCCGGTATTATCATATCTCAGTCTCACTTTAGTAGAAGAGCATGAAACTTCGCAATAAGGGGCAGTTTGATACGCTTAAAAAGATAGGATATGGACCCCGACTGAAAATTGCCTCCTTGTACTATTTTTAGATTGGGGTACTTTGTCCTAGGCCTTTATTGACGGTATCATCGTATCTCAGTCTCACTTTTGTAGAACAGCATGAAACTTTGCAATAAGTGGCAGTTTGATACGCTTAAAAAATTAGGATATGGACCCCGACTGAAAATTGCCCCCTTGTACTATTTTTAGATTGGGGTACTTTGTCCTAGGCCTTTATTGACGGTATTATCGTATCTCAGTCTCACTTTTGTAGAAGAGCATGAAACTTCGCAATAAGGGGCAGTTTGATACGCTTAAAAAGATAGGATATGGACCCCCTCTGAAAATTGCTCCCCTTGTTCTATTTTTAGAGTGCAAGATATGAATAGGAACTATATCACATCTGTGTCAGCGTATCAAACTGCCTTTATATTGAGAATTCCTGTTCTCCGTTTATGGCCAATGATAGAATTAGGGGTCTGAATCTGAGTACCCCAGTCTTCAAATAGAAATTAGGGGCAAGATATGATTTGGTTCGATATCCAATCTTGTTCTGCATGTCAAACTGCCTTTATATCGAGAATTCCAAGTTTCTATGACCTGGCGTTCTCCGTTTTTGGCCCGGGGTCTGGACCAGAGTACCCCAGTCTAAAAATAGAATTTAGGGACATTATATGAATTGGGTTTATTTTACATCTTTTTCGGCTTGTTAAACTGCCTTGAAATTGTGAACTTCAACTTTCTATGGCCTGGCGTTCCCCGTTTATGACCAAAGGTACAATTAGGGGTCTGGACCAGAGTACCCCAGTCTAAAAATAGAATTTAGGGACATTATATGAATTGGGTCTATATCACATTTTATTGTCTAGTTAAACTGTCTTTTTATTGTGAATTTCAACTTTCTATGGCTTGGCGTTCCCCCTTTATGACCAAAGGTACAATTAGGGGTCCTGACTGAGTACCCCAGTCTCAAAATAGATCTTATGGGCAAGATATGATTTAGGTCTATACCAAATCTCTTTCAGCGTATCAAACTTGGTGTTCTCTGAAATTTTGGTGCTTGTATCACAATTTGCACAATTATTCTTCATATCTCCCTCACTAGAACCTATTCTGTACAACCGCAGTTTCCTGATTGCTGTCGACCCGACTCATCACTGTCACATCACAAACTGGCCTGGATTTTCGCAAGCACTACCTAATTTCAAACTCTGATTGAACACACTTTTGCTGGTCAAATTATGACAATTTTGGTGTCAAACGTATCAGAAAAGATAGGAAATATAACTCTTAAAAAAAAGATGGACATAAAATTTCGCTGCATAGACACTTTAAGTCATATCATTTTTCTCGATACATAGAACCTTCTGTCATGTTTCTGAACAGAAGCCACTCATCTATCATGTTTCTGAAATCATGAAAATAGACTTGTTAAAGTTATATGTTGTAAAAAGTTATGTGCTGGATTGAAAAAATGAGAAAGATGGGAGATAAAGCAGTGGTCTCTGGAACTACACCTGAATGAAAACATGGCTCAAAAAAGGATAAAAACCCTTTGATAGTGTCTTCCAAAAAAAGCACTTTAAAATCCTTTGAAAAACAGTCAAATCCTAACTCTTTCAAAAAAGTTAGGGATGGAAAACAATAAGAATCAAAGGTCAAAGTTTTCTATCAACAGCTGGATGAGAATCGATGTTTTAAAAACATCCAGAAAAGCCCTAGAAAAAGCCTTTGAAAAAGTTAACGAAGGGAGCAAAGCGCCCAAAAATGCCGTCGTTGCGTAAGGCGCATTGATGGGAGTCACATCGCATATTTGGATCGAGGGAAGCGAGCAAACATAGATTTGTGACCTTTACACACAATCGCAACCCTCGTTGAACTCAGTTCAAGGGGTGCAGCAGTTTTTGCTGAAATCGTGCAAGAATCTTCAATGTGATCAGACCAATATCAGATATGATCAGACCAATATACGCAGAGTGAGCTCATTTGCATATGAGCACATTAATATTATTGTAGAGATAAAATTTCTCGCAGAACAGATTATGCCAACATGCTCCAATACTTTCTTGAACATTTATAATGATGCAACTACTAGGTTATATGGATCTCTTTCATGTGACTTCACACAATCAATAGACGAAAGTTTACGGTTGGGAACAAACATATTCTCTAAAGAAGCCCCCACTATTGTCTTTAGACCAAAAAATTATAAATAGCATCACCATATGTTTAAATCAAAGTGCTTTTTACAACAATCTTGACAATGGATGAATTTGAAAACTTAGTTATGATACAAATGATACCTCTGCCCTGTCCATAACAACATGCTTGGAGCGATCATTTGTCCCAACAAGTCTTGCTCTCAGTAATTCTGGCGACCAGAATTTCTTCTTTTACATGGCTGAACAAACCACCTGGCGTTTAATTAAGACCCTGTTTACACGAGAGAAAATGGAACGGTTCCATTTGGAACCGTGCCGTTTGGAACGGTTCCAAATTTTTTCTGCTTGCATTTACACGGGCATCCTGGAACCGTTCCAGAAATTGCTTCAGAGGAGGGAGAGCATGCGCAGTAATTCCTTCTGTTCGATTGGCGCCAAAACTTGTAAATCGCATCATTCGACTCGATTACGACAATTTTTATCAACATGGCAGCAACAAACATTACCAAGAAACTTTTCGTTTGGACAGAAGAAGAAACTGCACTATTGTTGAAAATTGTCTTGGACTACAAAACAGCCAAATATGCAGCTGGACAGGACTGGGAAACCATTCGCTCCAAGTACGAAGACTTGGCATGCCGTTTACAAGAGGCCTATCAAGATGAAGTTACTGATGAATTTCCAAGAGGAGAAACCAAAGAAGAATTTTCCGCTTCTAAAGTTTCTTTGAAACTGAAAAAAATGAAAAATAGTTTCAGAAAAGCACTCGACAGTGGGCGAAAAAGTGGTGGTGGCAGAATAGTGTCTTCTCTTTACCAGGAGTGTTCTGAAATATGGGCTGGATGCCCAGCAGCAACAAGCATTGATGGAGGTTTTGAAACAACAGGCGTAAATAATCCCGCAAATGATGAAGAAATATTGGCAGAGGAGAATTCTCCTATAGAAGTGGATTCTCAGGGATCAAGTATTGCTGGCAACAATGAAGAGAATATTGATTACATTGACGAAGATTCACCAATATCCTGTGAACCATTAAAAAAGAAAATGAAGCTTAGGAGAGAAGAACTTGCAAATTTGTTAAAAGACCGCCGAAATTCCAAGTCAATCAAGAAGACTACTTTCCAAGAGAAGATTTTAAATTTTGCAACAGAAGAGGCTGAGATGAGAAAGGAAGACATAGAATTGAAAAAGAAGCTTGTTGCTCAATTTGAGTCCTCTGAGAAACAGTTCTCTTCAACAATTAGGCAACTTTCAGAAGATTTGAATAAGACAATGTCAGAAGGCTTTAAAATGATGCAAATGATGTTTCAGCCAATGCAAGAGTTTTATCCAGCACCCAATTACTACCAAGGGCAAGGAAATGGGAACCAGTGGCAAAACATAATGTACAATCGAAGCACTAACAGAAATGAAGACAGTTCAGAGCCACATTATACTGATTTGTAACTCGAAAAACTATTTTACTTACAATTTTTCCATACTAGCACACTATTGTAGAAACTCAAACAAGCTTTCTTAATTAAGAAGTATCATATTATATTGATTCAACTGATTTTTAACTCTAAACAAAATTAACTTGGTTAGAAATAATGGAAATCAACATAACAAACTGTATCATTAAAACTAAGATAAACTGTTTTTGGGATGAAATGTTTAAACGTTAATAATTGGAAAGTTTTTAAAATGTCAGTTGTTGTTAAAGTATAATTTGAAGATGTCTCTGACTTTTTTGCCTTCTGATTCTCCTGAATTGTTTCTTTTTCCACTAGAGTTTGGCTGAAAATCTCTATCATAATTCATAGCAGCTTTTATGTGTTCCTCAGGCACTCTTTCTTTATGAAGTTCACAAAAATTGTGTAGTACAAAGCAGCTGTATATCACATCTGACAGACTGGTCTGACATATGTCCATTTCTCGACGTAGTGCTCCAAATCTTGCTTTGAGTCTGCCAAAAGCACATTCGATTACCATTCTTGCAGACGAGAGACGATGACAAAAAAATTGCTCATCAATTGTTTTACCTCCATTGGCATATTCTTTGATGAGATATGGCTGAAGTGGATATGCTGGGTCACCAAGGAGACAGACAGGGACACTGTCATGACCTTCAACGATTTCTTTCTGACATGGTGGAATATCACCATTTTGTAACATTTTGTTTATTGCAGAATTAGCAAAGATTCGTGCATCATGCACACAACCAGGCCATTTTACTACAACATCTATAAAGCAATACCGATAGTCACAGGTTGCCTGGACATTCAAGGAATATCTGTTTTTTCTGTTTAAAAAGTCAGTTGGGTTTTTTGAAGGCTGACGAATAAATACATGGGTTCCATCTACTGCACCCAAACATTGAGGAAAACCATGATGCATATAGAAATTTTCAGTAAGAAACTGTACTTCATCTTCAGTTTGAGGTGTCTTGATGTATGTTGGTCCTAGTTCATTTGTTATAACATGGCATACTTTTCTAACCACTTTTGAAACAGCTGATCTTGAAATGCCAAAAGCATTAGCAACTTTTCTATATCTGCCCTCGTCGGCCAAGTAATATAATGTGACTGCTAGTTGTTTTTCTACAGATATAGACTGGCGCATATTTGTAGTTTGTTTTTCCAAAAAAGGCCTTAGCTTGTTACACAGTAGAAGAAAACTGTTCTTACTCATGCGAAAGTTCTCTCTCCATTCTTCTGGTACAACAACATTGTCTACAAAGTTTTGCCACCAACCATCCGTTCGCCCTGGCTTGATCCAGAACCTTCTTTTTGGATTTCTGCGAGCATTCTTCATCGCCATTAAATTCCTGAAAATACTCTGACGCTGGTCGATGCTTGTTATCATATTCAAAATTCTTCGCTGTCGTAAGTTATGAAGGAGACGCAAAGTACTGATAATTTCAACTTTAGCTACCAAAACTGACAATAAAATTGAGAAAATTGATGCTACAGTATTCTTTAATCGGTTCATCGTGAAGTATGTATGAAATAGATCGTAAACAAATCAACTTTTTTCTCTTCTTTTTTGGCGCGCAGCAATAAAGCAAACAAAGAAATCATTTCCAACTAGCCTCTATCTCATAGCATAGTAGCCTCGATTCCTATCCGTTCTCTTTTGGCTCGGTTCCATGCGGTTCTGCCCGTTTACACGGGAGCCAAACGGAACGGTTCCAAATGGAACCGTTTCTGTAGCGGAGCCAAAAGAGCACGGATAGCAGATCCAAACTGGAACGGTTCCAACAGTTCCCGTGTAAACGCAAGGCCTATCCGTACTAGTTTTGGAACGGTTCCATTTGGAACCGTTCCATTTTCTCTCGTGTAAACAGGGTCTAACATACCAGTTTCTAGGTACAGAAAAGCCCCCTTAACAAGTGGGCGTAGCTTTGAGTCAGAACAATGCGACCTGTTAATAGAGGTAAGCAAAAATTAACTTGGGAAAGGAATTAAACCTCTGTCCAAAACTATTAGTATTCCCTCTTTAAAACGACAGGTAAAAACAAAATGTATCAGACTGTTATTTCACAAGCCCGTGAATAGATCATGGACTCAAAAAGTTGAAGTTATAGAGTTATCTAAGGCCTGTCTTGAATTAACTTTAACTATTGTAATGATTCCAGCACAAGTTATTCAAATCTTTTCACCCAAGCTAGCTTCACTAGATCTCTTCAATACCCCGCACAATCACGCCTTTTTGGCGAAAGTGAATACCCTATAAAAAGATTTACGCTACGCCACTGGTGACCTAAGATAGTCTAAATTCTCTTATTTGTCTTTTTTTCATGCGTTTTGTATATTTAATTTGTTTACTGCTTCTTACCACTGTCGTAACTACTCCAAAACTGAGTACTTTTTGAGATTTCTCAACAATGTCCCTGAACTTCAGAATCTCATGTTTGTGTTGCGATTAGTGGCGATATTTAGCATTGTCTTGGTCCATTTATATGCTGCAATCTAGACATATCACATGTCTGCGGTTTGACCGCTGAACTTTTCTTCGCTTGACTGGGGGATCTGCAAGTGACAAATGACGACTGTTTTTATACAACCTATAGAAATATTTCGGGCTTCAAACTTTCGTTTAACGTCAAATTTAATGGCTCTCAAATCAATCCAGAACTTACCGCACATCTTTCTGTCTGAAGATAGTCCCACATGATGCGTTGCTAGAGCCTCCTTTGAAATTTTCTTTTAAAGGTGTCGTCTTTTAATTGTGTTACGTCGTTAATGACAGTAATAAGCAGTTGGGTTGTTTCTGTTCACAGCAAGAAAGCCCCTGTCGATGGTAATCCTATTGTCTTTCTGAATGTGAATGCTCCTCAAAGCTTTGAGCTATTTGTTGCTATGCAAAAAAAGAAACGTTTGCCATGTCTTTTAAATTTGGTTAATTTGTTCCTTAGTCTTCTTGATTTGAATTTTACCTGGATATGAGTAAGTTTTACCGGAAAAATTGCTGAACAACAGAGTTGGGGGATGTGACACCCCCCCCCCACCACACTGCCCTACCAAACTGCCCCAGCACATGCCCTAGCCTAAACTGCCCCCACCACACTGCCGTAGCTAAACTGCACCTACCCACAACGCCCCGCCAGCCACAATCCCGCCACCACCGCGACAATGCCCCCCACCAACCCACAATGCCGCCAACCACCAAAATGCCCCACCACCACAATGCCCCCGCACCACCACACTGCCCCCACCACCCCCCCCCCCAAAAGATGCCAAGATTTGACACTAGGGAGGGGGGAATACGACAAGAAAAAAATGATGACGTAGTAAGTGGAATTGAGCAGGATTTGTCAAGAGTTAGTTTACCTGGGCAAAATGAAAATTTATCGGAAGTTGTCGAGAAAAGATACGAAGAAGTCAAAATATAAAAAAACAACGAAAATGTTCAAGAAAGAGAACATAGCTCTGCCGATACAGACGCCCAGGTTGTCCTGCCAGTTTGTTGTGATACAGAAGAAGAACCTAAAAACGAAATTACCATCCTAAAGGCTGATGTGGATGAATTGAAAGAATCGATTGAGTTTCTGAAAGAGGAGTTAAGAATGTAGAGAAATGAAGGACGTATCTCTGTGGTCCTACCAAACGAAACATTCACACCAGCTGACGATGAATCATTATTTAGGAGCTGTAGGACTGTTCAAGATCTATTGAAGTATTTTCCGGAACTTGAATTAGTAAATGAAGACCCAATTCTTGTCTGTAGAGTATGTTTCCCAGAGAATGAGAACCCAAGTAACAGAGGTAGTTCTCTTCCAGCTGGCATGTTTTTATTCCAGCCAGAACAGAAAAAGATGAGGAAATTATGTCCAGAACATTTAGAAATCTCAAGATCAGTATAACCCACCACTTGAAAAGAGATAATCATCAGGAAGCGATATCAAATGATAAAAGTCTAAACGAATGGCATGAAAAAGAAGTCTGGAGAAATAACAAGATAGCCATGCATATAGGTAGTGCATGCTACAGGCTATATTATCCCAGGCGGCAAAACACTGATGGCTCTCATAAATTTGCACACAATTACCTTAACTCGGTGGCCAAAGTTGTGAAAGGCAACATCCAGAGCTTTCTGAACACAAGCCTCCCAAAAAATTGGTTCCTGCCACCCGTATCTTTGCCTTTTCCTAATATGTTTATTCACACTGCAAAGTTTTTTGTAAAAACCCAAGACACTTTAGAAATAAACAACCTAAGTTACTATTTTTTCTTCCAGTACTTTTTGGCAAAGAAACCCTAAAATTTTCACAAAAATCTTTAGGAAAATAAAAAGCCAATCAAAAAATTTTTGTTCCTCATACAACATCCAAACATTTTAGAGATGGGATCAAAAGTGTCATCAATCTTAATTTTAGAACAGATTCAGACAAGTTTGAATGGATCATCCCGACCATTCCAGCAAGGCAGATCTGAGTTGTAAGGCATATGCAAGGAGGTGCTAAATAGAGGGTGGCGCCTATAAAAAAGGGTTCTCACAACAAGATTTGAGTCAATTCCTTTCTAAAGAGATGCACGGAAGTTCTGATAACTTGAACACTCAGAACTTATTTTTTTTGCATTTACTGTGAACCTTCTCCAATACGTGCTATGTTGGATAACACAAACAGTCGCTAACTAGAGCATACAGCAACTCAAACTTAATTCGTGGAACTATTAAATGTATATTGCAAAGCAGTGCATACAGTCTGCCAAAACTTAAGCACTGCTTTGCGGTGCGGTTCTTGGTGATATTGCTTAAAGAGACTGCAGAGTCTCTAAGACTCATGCGTACTTCTTGTCCTCTTTACACTACCTCCCACATGCATTGCCACTGAGAGCTTAATTGCTGGCCCTAGGCCGGCTTTAGGTCCTCATTCAGTCTAGCTGTACAGATGAGCCCTGATATGGGGCGAAACCAGTCTACAGCCGACTGTTTGAGATGTCAGTGGCTTTCTTCACTTCACACTTCTGCTGCAACTCTGTGGGATGGCATACAGTCCGCCAAAACCTAAGCACTGCTTTGCGGTGCGGTTCTTGGTGATATTGCTTAAAGAGACTGTCGAGTCTCTAAGACTCATGCGTACTTCTTTTCCTCTTTATACTACCTCCCACATGCATTGCCACTGAGAGCTTAATTGCTGGCCCTAGGCCGGCTTTAGGTCCTCATTCAGTCTAGCTGTACTGATGAGCCCTGATATGGGGCGAAACCAGTCTACAGCCGACTGTTTGAGATGTCAGTGGCTTTCTTCACTTCACACTTCTGCTGCAACTCTGTGGGATGGCATACAGTCTGCCAAAACCTAAGCACTGCTTTGCGGTGCGGTTCTTGGTGATATTGCTTAAAGAGACTGTCGAGTCTCTAAGACTCATGCGTACTTCTTGTCCTCTTTACACTACCTTCCACATGCATTGCCACTGAGAGCTTTTTGCTGGCCCTAGGCCGGCTTTAGGACCTCATTCAGTCTAGCTGTACTGATGAGCCCTGATATGGGGCGAAACGGGTCTACAGCCGACTGTTTGAGGTGCCAGTGGCTTTCATCACTTCACACTTCTGCTGCAACTCTGTAGGATGGCATACAGCCCGCCAAAACCTAAGCACTGCTTTGCGGTGCGGTTCTTGCTGATATTAGAGACTTTAAGCATCGCCAACGCTAACCTTAACCTTAACTCTATTGCATCATAGCCTATTGTCTTGCTATCAACACCCACTCATATCATGTAAACACACAAATTGAAAGGGGGGGGACCCTAACGTTGGCGTTTTCACCCATTGTTCATGAACGCTAGCTTCAGTGAGTTAAGGTTTTGCCAAACGTTAACTTTTTTAAAACACATTTTGCGTCTTTTCGAAAGAATTTTGCCCTGTTTTCAAGTGAACAACAATGGACAACGCAGATGTTTTGAACATGACCAGGTAAGCAAATCATACGCATTTAAATAACGTTTTTCTCAGATGGCTCTGAATTTATATATCGATTTACAAATATGAAAAATAACATCTTAAAAAATACAGTGAAATTTGAACTTTAATGAGTTTTTTTATGGCAAGATCTACGCAAGTGGGCTATCTTAATGCAGTATTGTCGAATCCCCCTGAGTGAGTTGAATAAATTTCACAGGGTATTTTAGGTTGTGTTAGGCCGAGGAGTTAAATGTTGTACCGTAATTCTCTAAAATATACCCATTTAAATAAAAAGCTCAATCACAATTCACCACAAAGGGAAGGGAGGGCCAATCCGATCGTCTATTTACCATCTTAAATGTGCTCAATATTTTTTAGTAAAAGATTCAAGTGGACACAAGAGCATGAAGTTTTGATGTTGAGAGAAGTTTTGGCGTCCGAGATTTGGTTGACAAAGCCAGGAAGTCTCGAGAGAAGGGATGGTTGGAGAAAAATTATCAAAAATTTGTCGCAGGTAGAAAGACCAAAATTTGGTGTATCCTGTAGAGCAGTGAGAGATCACTTCCAGAATATTTTTGCCAAAAGAAAGTCCCAAAACAGAAGAGAAGAAAGTGCCAGTGGAATTAGTCCTGAGCCCATAGGAAAAGATGTTCTCCTTGAAGATTTAAGGGAGCTTTTTGATGCAGCAACCGCTGATCAGCAAGCAGCATCCCAGCAAGTTAAAGAAAAACAAGCAGCAGAAGTGGAAAAAGCTGAAGAAATGAGAAGGCAGTCGGTTGAAACAATGAGAGATAGCAATGAAAGCAGGAAGAGAAAGCAAGGGGAGGTAAAGAATGTAACTGAAAAGAAACGTAACGTTGGGCAAAAAACATTTGACAAAATTAAAGAAAAAATCAGAGTTGACAGTGATTTCAAAGAGAGAGAGTTAATGCTGACACAGAAAGCAATCGAAGAGAAGGCCAAACAGAGAAAAATTACAATGGAAAGGCAAACAAATGAAGTAGATGAATTGAGGTCAACTATTGAGGAAATAAGGGAAAGGCTAGATCACCAGTATCGAGGGGCTTGAAAGCATGAATGATATGACAAGGGTGCATTTTTTCCTGCAGGGGGGAGGGGGTTGGCCTCAAGACCGCTTCTATAATTTCTGCAACTATTAACTGCTTGCATATGCAGATGAAGCAAACCCAGAATGAAAAGTAAATTTTGCCCTACTCACTGTACACTTGAAATTTTCATAAATAAATTGTTTCCTTCGTTTTTTTATAAAAAGTCCAATGGGTGTTTGTGGTAAAAGAATTTAGGTATAAGAATGACTAAGAAAGAAAATAATTTCTATGTCAATTTAAAAAAGAGTTATGATAATTCTAGGAAAAAACTACTAATAGGCAATAATATCACATTCAGATTTGTGTTCAAAAGAATGCGATGTTCCCTTTAATGAAAAAAGGACTTGAAGAAGCATTGCAAAATTTATTTCATTCTATACTGTAATTACTCACTTTTAGGTGATTAAGGACCCCACAGTGTTCTGTTAAAACTTTATAACTTGTATTTCCAGGGTAATAATCACTAACAAATGTGATTGTACCATTTGGTGCTACACCAATTAAGAATTTTCCAGTAAGGTTGTGCTTGTAATTGCTGTATGAAGCACTTGCAGCATTCAAGTCTTGCCTTGGTGCGGTGATTCTGAATACAGTGCAGTCAATGATAATCCTGCAATTTGTGAATTCTCCAAAAGATTCAGGCATACTCCCTTGGTTTTTTGCCAGTGAAGGAAGGCATTCGCTTCATCAGTTCCTGGTACAAAACTTCATGCACTGCATACAAATATGTTAGGAATATATTGTGTATTGTTGTGCGCCTAACACCATACCGCTTTGCTATGTCAAAAAGTGGCACATCGAGCTTCAGTTTCATCAGAAAGATCAATAACTGGTCTTGATCACTGATTTTGAATACTTCACAACCAGTCCAATAATTCAATAGTCTAAATGCATTGATTAGCTTGTCTATTCTAAGAAAGGCTCGTTTTGACAAGTTTGTATATACTTTTATGTCGTCTTCTGAAAGTCTTTCAAATGTGAAGACTTTCCTTCCAAGCTCTCTCATTTCTGAGAAAGCTTTATAGAGCTGTTTTGTGAGAGACTCTATTCCCTGCTCTTTGTGGTGGTGATCTGCTCGAGGTAGGGACATCTCCGCGTCGGTTTTGTCCAGCAAGAATTCACCACTAGCAGCTAATTTCTTCTTAGGGCTTTTCTTCAGTGGCTCTAGTGCTCTTAGAGACGTCTTCTTCACTACTCTCCCCATGTAAAAACAAGCTCGGTATTGCTCCCCTTTTTAGTCTTGGCTTTTGGTACACAGTAGGTGTATCCTTTGAAGGCTCAGTAAAGTCCTCCTTTTTGAAATGCTTACTGCACACGTACGAATATTTCGAAGGCTCAAAGCCGACTCTACAAATTCTAACTTTCCACCCTGTTGCTTGTTCCTTGTTCGATGGAAAATCATGGTACAAAACGTCTCTGTTTTTTTCCGAATTATTAAAACAGCCAAATACACAGCAATATCGCTTTTGGGACTATAAACTCCCCAGTTGCTAATTCTAAAGATTTTTAGAAGTATCTTAAGATGAACGCTGAAGAATAACAAGACAAATTTGCTCTGCTATCTTGTTCATTGGTATCAACCATCGTGTTTACATCTTACGATGCATCTAAATTCACAATTAACGCGCTCTCTTTTAAATCTACAGTCCCTGGTTCTGATTAACGCCACAAAAATTCTCCAATTTTAACTACCAATAAGAAGCAAGAATAACATGTGCAGTTTTACGTCAACTAAAGTTAATTAACAGCAATTTTTATGTAGAAATAACGCTGCATGCCTATAACATGCTGAACGCTTATAACTAAATTTACCTAAACATGTATCTGTAGCCAAGTTATAGAGTAAATAAGCAATGTTAAAGGTTCTACCGCGATCCTAACGAGTTCACCATGCGATCCATCTACGTGAACCGCAAGAAAAACAACTAATCACTACGCAATTCTGTGTTTATAGCAAATAATATACCAACTACGTGTAGCAATTATGGTAAGAAGAAAAATGCCCGAAAGCAATGGAAAAGTTCCGACACACTCCCCTCGTTGACTCATGTAGAGTCAAGAATAAGACGAGTTTTCCATTGCGAGTCTTTTGCTGCGGCGCGCTTGGGTCTATTAGCAGGGAATACTGGGGTTGGATCATCCGCTCTATTCTCATGCTCCTTCACATTTCCACGTCTATAATGTTTCTCCTCGCCAATCTGCTTTGTACCTCAAATGGAAATAATTTCTGTAGAGGTCTATTTGGCTTACCTCTTCCGTTTACACGAACCTTTGCGCCTCTTACTATTCCATCTTTTCCCTTGATTAACTGAACGATCACGCCCATCTTCCATTGGCCTCTTTTCACGTTATCTTCCTTCACTAGTACCATGTCCCCGTCTGCAGCATTTGATTCCTTGAATCCATTCTTCTTATGCACTTCTCGCAAATCTAGAAGATACTCGGTTCTCCATCGGGACCAAAAGTGGTTTAGTTTCTTAAGCAAATACAAGAATCGTTTGGTATGAGATGTGGTATCTTCATCAAGATTATCAGAGTCACAAGCAATTCCTTCAGATATCTGAGGAAGTCTCCTACCATAAATTAAATGAGATGGTGTCAAAGGTTGATAACCGAGTTCATCATATAAATATGTCAATGGCCTGTTGTTTAAAGTAGATTGTATCTCAACAAGCACAGTAAAAAGTTCATCAAATGTCATTCTAGCATTTCCTAACACTTTTTTCAAACACCTCTTTACCGTACCTACCATTCTTTCAAAATGACCCCCCCCCCACCAGGGTGAGCGTTCCAAATTGAACTTCCATACAATCCTTTTTGCTTGCAAATCTGGTAACACTGAATGGTCACGTGTAAGTTTATCTAAAAACTTATGAGTAAATTTGAACGTTTGCGCATTGTCCGTATTTATTATATCTGGAGTGCCCTTCAGCGCTGCAAATCTTCTTAAACTAAGAATAAAGGCAGAACCAGTAAGATCAGTTACAAGATCTAGATGTAAAGCTCTGGTAGTACAGCAAACATAAAGCACAATATAACATTTCTGCATTTCATTTGATTTCGACTTATAATACAACGGACCTGCAAAGTCAATACCCACATTAGAAAAGGGTTTGGTCTCTTGCACCCTAAAAGGTGGCAGATCTCCAGCTTGTGCAGACGAATAAGGTTTTCCTTGGACCTGCTTACACTTAACACAACTGTTAATCAATGTCTTAACATATTGCCTACCCCTTGGCACCCAAAATCGTGCCCTAAGTTCAGCAAGAGTAGCTTTCAAACCATCATGATGGACTCTTTTGTGACAAGCATGAACAATTAACTCTGGGGAATTTGCCTTCAAAATCTATGTCAGAGTTTCCTAACCTTCCCTTGCATCTTAACAATTTACCTTCCTTAAAGATGCCTAAATTTATAGCAAGCTGTTTATACTTTGAATCCCTTTCCAATACTTCTTGAGCATCAATAATCCAATAGGCTTCTGCAGATAAAATTTCTGAAGCATCTAGTTCATTAGTGTTAATTGGTCTTCTTTCCCTTTTTGCCTTCAAATTTGAGATAAACCGTAAGACCCACGATGTAACTCTCAGCAAATGATCTTATGAACTGAATTTATCAATCTTGATAAGTTGAGACATACCTTGTGGAGTTTCTTGTACCACTGTTGTAACTGCTGCTGATTTTTTTCTCTCAGCTGCAACTTCTTCACTGCTTTCTAGCAACGTTTCTGAGGGCCAGTATTTTCTGTCAAGCAAAAGCCAATAAGGTCCATGCCACCAAAGTCTATTATCCTTAAGTGTACTTGGTAGCGCTCCCCTTGAGCCAATGTCTGCTGGGTTGCAGATTCCTACACAATGGCCCCAGTTTTCCTTGCTGGAAAGTTTGAGGATCTCTTCAACACGGTGCTGGACAAACTGTTTCCAATGACCAGCATTATTGATCCAAAACAGTGCTGTTTTGCTGTCTAACCAGCAAAAACGTTCCTTGACTTCTACCTGCAAACTCAAAGCTGTGTCAACAACATTCATTAATGTAGCTAAAATCTTAGCCGACATCAATTCAAGCCTAGGGATACTCAATTCCTTAAGTGGTGCAACTCGAGTTTTCGCACAGACAAGATTAGAAAAAATGCCTTGATCAGTCTCATATACAAGATACACCATTGCACAATAAGCCTTTTTGCTGGCATCAGCAAATCCATGTAGAGTGCAATTTCTAACATTGTCCTTAGTGTTGTCATAAAGGCATCGTGGCAAGGAAATTATGCCTACAGAATGAAAATCATTGACTAAGCTTTCCCTCGAATTACCTTGTCCTCTTGAAATTCGTGAAAAAAATCTATTCCAATCAAAATGTCTACTTCTAATGAATTCTGAAAACAAGCTACATCTGAAAACCAAACATTTGCAAGATGAGCGTATTCATGTTTGACAATTTCAGGGTGAACATTTGAGATTTCAGAGATATGATCAACAACAAAGGCATTTAATTTAACTGCAGATCCCTCTCCTCTCACTGGCAGTAACTTTATCTCCACAATCTCTCTCATGCCTTCATCCACATTGTTGGAACCAAAGGTCTTAATCCCAAGGGGTTCCCTTCTAATGGGCTTTAGAGCTAAGTGATCTACTAACCCCCGAGTAACAAAAGTCTTGTCAGAACCTGTATCAAACAAAACTCTTGCCCTCACTTGTGGTTTACCTACAACAATAGCCTGGGCTGTCTGCAATGCCGCTCTCCCCCCGCTGTCAACCTTCTCTACACAGGACGTGGTGCTTATTAAATTGGGTGGTGCGCTGGGCTTAGGAGAAGTCTTGTCCAACACAGAATTGTTATTACGAGTGCAAATAGACGAATGATGTTTAAATTTACAAAATTTGCAAACAACCTTAACTCTGCATTTAGAAGCACGATGACCTTTTTTTAAACAACAAAAACATCTACCGCTATGCAAAATAATTTTTTTACGTTCTTCGATGTCTTGCACTTTGCTGCAATCCAATTCTTTGTGGTCTTCGAAGCAGTATGCGCAAGCCTTCTTCCAATTTTTATCGCCTTCGTTACCCGACAAGAGTGCACTTGCTGATGTTTTGGTCGGTTGCCTCGGTTTGAATCCATCGTCTCGTTTCGTTACCGGCTTTTCTGAGAGCACGGAGAAGTTTTGTTCCCTAACATTCAACTCGTGGCGAAAAGATGCGAGCATTGTCTCAATGTCCCATTCTTCGAAATTTTTTGTCCCTCTTATCATGTTTAATCTAATGGGCTCGGGTATTTTTTCCATTAGTGTAGGTACAATTATCGTCGCATAACTATCTTGATCTACACCGAGCGCTTCTAACCCTCTGAAGTGCGTTTCAATTGTATCATATAATTCACGCATCCTAGGAACATTCTTTCGTTAAATACTACTGGAGCATTAATAAGATCCTTGATATGCGCCTTTTTAATTAACAAAGGTTTTGCGAATCGTTGCTTCAATAAATCTAATGCTGCTTGGTAATGTTTTTCTGTCAGCTTGAATCCGGAAATGACTTTTTTAGCCGAATCTTCAAGATAATACCTTAAATAGGCAAATTTATCGACTACGGAAAGTTCTTCATTTCCATGTACAGCACTGACAAACCCATCCCAAAATTCCTGCCAGTCTTGTGGCCTTCCTGAAAACTTTTTTAGCTCTAGTTTTGGCAGTTTGGCTCTTACTTTCCGGAAGGACGATGAGCTACTTGAATTTAAACTGTCTATAGAAATTTGAGAATCGCTTCTTCTTAAATTTGGAGTTGACTCTTCATAAAAAGGTTTTAAATAGTCCTTGATGGTAATAATTGCCAAGTAATAATTGCCAAATTTACCTTTTCTTTGAAGCTACCGCATTCCTCTATTTCTCTAGTTAGCTCCTCATTGGCTTCGTCATCATCTCTAGCCTCGCTGACCATCAAATTGAGTATCTTCTCGTCGAGTGGTTTCAGGGTCTCTAGTTGTTCTTTCAGTTGAATTTCCAGTTGCCTCAAGCTCTTCGCATCGTCTTTGCTGTCTTCAACTCTTGCTATCAGCCTAGACGAAAAACTTCTGTGGCCTCCTCGGATTCTCTTCAACTTCGGCAGTTCATCCATCACATCTGTTTACTTCCAATCTTCGCTCGGTGTTTACATCTTACGATGCATCTAAATTCACAATTAACGCGCTCTCTTTTAAATCTACAGTCCCTGGTTCTGATTAACGCCACAAAAATTCTCCAATTTTAACTACCAATAAGAAGCAAGAATAACATGTGCAGTTTTACGTCAACTAAAGTTAATTAACAGCAATTTTTATGTAGAAATAACGCTGCATGCCTATAACATGCTGAACGCTTATAACTAAATTTACCTAAACATGTATCTGTAGCCAAGTTATAGAGTAAATAAGCAATGTTAAAGGTTCTACCGCGATCCTAACGAGTTCACCATGCGATCCATCTACGTGAACCGCAAGAAAAACAACTAATCACTACGCAATTCTGTGTTTATAGCAAATAATATACCAACTACGTGTAGCAATTATGGTAAGAAGAAAAATGCCCGAAAGCAATGGAAAAGTTCCGACAATCGCGGCATATTCGATTCTTAGTTCGTGCGCAAGGTCTGTCATGTGTTTACTTCAACACTAGGCCAATAACATTAGGCCGTTGCTACCTGATAACTAAGGCCGGCGAAGGCCAGCCAATAAGCAAAGACTTCACTTTCGGAGCGTATTATCCCTGTAGATCTGCCTTCCACAAAGCTTTGGATGTTTTACTATTGTATCAACTTGACCTGCAATGTTTCATGCCTCTTTAAACCAGCAGCTATGATAGGTGCCAATGCAGTTTCAGGCATTTTGCAAGGATAACACCAAAGCTCTTACTTCATTCAAACCCCCTAGAATGTCAATTTGGGAACCTTGAAGCTGATAATTAGCTGTTGTGGTGTATAACCAATGCAGTGTCTGACAATAACTATTGTCATAGGAAAAATAAAATATTTCATTATTGACTGAAGAGTAAAGGCATCAGAGGATGAGCAATTCCAGTTTCTCTCAAAATTTTCTGACATTATTTTTAGAGCTGCAGAGATGGGCTCGTACATTTCAAGAAACCACTCTAAGCCATCAATTCTCTCAATCCATCTTGTTCTACAAACGTCAAGAACGGTAGAGTGGCTTGCAGGAAGATACCCTTGCACCATTTTTATCACAAGTGCTTGCCTTTTGAGTGTGTTGAAAAATTTGCCTATTTTGGTAACATTTTCCATCATGTTTTTAACAGTTTGCAGCTGGCAAGCTGAAGCAACACAGAAGTTTAGCCTATAGGGTGAACAAAGCCAAATCATTCTGTTTACGAATATTTGTTTCTAAACCAGAATGAACTCCAGCCATATTGGCAGCACCATAATAGCATTCCCCTTTGACATTTCTTGATATTTAAGCCAAACTCATTTATTACAAAATTCACTATCTTATCTGCCAGAGCCTTGCTTTTGATGCCATCATGAATCTTTCATAAATTTCTCCTTTTTCATAAACATATCTTAAAACAAGAGGCATTTGTTCTTTGTTTGAACAATCACTAATCTAATCTGCCATAATTGAGAAAAAATTATTCTTTTTTATTGTATTATTGATTTGAAATTAATATCATCAGCACAACAAACAATGATTTCATTTTGCATTGTCTTAAAGCGGTAAGTGGCATTGCGTGGGGCAGATTTTGAAGTGCTCTTCTAAGACTTTATCCCCACCAGAGACCCTGAAATCTAGAACTGCTTGGAAATTCCCACAGTCCTTTGAGTCGTACTGTTGAGAATCACCTCTGTGACCTCTGAACCAAAAATTTCGTCTCCCAAATAAAACTACTTTCTCAACTATTTGAGCTAGCTTGGCTCTGTTGGCAGACACTGCTTTTTCTAAGACCTCACTGTGAATTAAGCTTGTGGGCTTTTGTTTATTTTTAAGTGTCCTTAAAAAATGTTCCTGTGTCAAAAGGGCTATCTTGTGAATTTCTGACTTACTTGCATGCTCTTTAAAAAAAACTCTATAGACACAAGACCAATCAGTAAAGGGACGTTTCCAGAGTCTATTCAATTTTGAAGAATTTTGTCCAATTTGCCTATCAAACAAAACACAAGGATAGAATAGCACAGCCAAGAAAAGCTTTCTAGCCATTTGTGGACAAATTTTATTTTTCTTCCTGACACTATTTGGGTAGGAAACTGGAATTTGGAATCAAGTGTCCAGGTATTATGGACAACATCATATTTTTGATCAGTGCTTAACTGGTCAGCATTTGAAAGAAAAGCGCCCACATCATAGTCAATATTATTGACAGCATCCACTTCCTTTGGCTTTGTATTATCATGATCTTCAAATAAAAGCTTATTATAAGCAGCAGCAGCTCCAGAAATAGCGTTTGATTTAAAAGATGAAACAGAGGCACAAATAGCATCCACTTTTGGAAAGGAAATTTTTGACTGGTAAGAGTTTTTGGAATAAGACACCTTTAGTTCAACATTCTCGTTCTTCACAATGAATACTGGCACAATGTGATTTGGCCTAATAGAGCTTTGCATCTTTGGCAATACAAAAAATTACCACTGAAGATTAATGGTGGAACAATGTTTGTTCTGTGATTCTCTTGCAAGAAGCAAGGCATTACAGTAGTTTTCCATATGATCCTTACCAGTATCAGGGTTAAGGGAGCTAACTTGTAAACCTAAGACACTTGCCATTGCCATTAGGCAGATAAATTGACTCCACCTTCTGTTGGTATAATTTTTGAGTGCCTCTAGCTTCAGACAATCATGATAGTTACGCAAGCTTTTGTTAAAAATATAACATGCTTCAAATGTAATTGATTGTAAAAATAAAGATCTTGGACAAGCTAAATTTTTACTCATTTTCCAGAATAGATATATAATGAGAGTGGAGGTATAGAATTCAGGGTACAATTCTGCAGAGCAGAAGACTCTTAGCAAATGACATGAACTTTCACTTCCAGTCACCAATAACGAACAAGCATTATATAGACAATTGCCATCAGCTCTTACCCTAAATTCAAAAAAGAGAGGAAATAGTTCATGTAACACAAATGTTAGCACAAGCACAATAAAATAATATGATATTGCAGCCTCTCTAAATAGCTAATTGGTTAAAAGTTTACCTTACTGGAACAGCTCTCTGGTTTTCTTTGGCTGTAAGCCAATTTGATGACAAGATACTGCTTGCAATATTTACTGTCTGAAAGCTTGACAAATTCTCTAGGCATCTTTCAGTGTCGATCTGCAAACTACTGCGATAATTTAAGTAAAACTTCCTAACTCCATTAAAATTGTTAGTGCCAATAATTTTGACTTAAATATCTAAATAATCCATAATTTCGTCTTTGATTCATCTGCATGTCTTCAAAGTAATTTCAATACACGATAAGAAAAATTTCCTCAAGCTCGTAGTACTGTATGAACTATGAACAGACCTAGGTCTTGAAGCGAGGTTTTCAAGCTCCTTGCCTCTGTGGTTATCCCCAACATTAAGGTTCATAGCATAATTTGCATCTACCTTTTCCACATTCGCAAAAAAATCCCATAAAAATTTCCTATTGTGTTTTCAGGTGGTAAATAACATAGCTGGACTGACATTCGCGCAAATTTTTGGCGTACATTTTTCAGTACTGCTTCATATGCGCTCGCACACCTTATCTATTATAATTCTATTCGACATTCGCATCAAAGCATATTGGTTATTGAATAAATAATACCGATGCGGGTATTTCCATAGAGAATGCATTAAGGAAATATATCAAAACGAGATATTTCCAGCGTTCAATAAGAGAAAGGAACTCACTGGTGGAGCTTCTGTTATAGATTCTCTGGAACCATCTGGAACTGAGTGAAGAGAAATATCGTGCCCAGGCCCTGGTGGGACGTTTTTAGGCTACAATTTTAATCCTGAGATTTAATAATGTGTAAAAGTATCGATAATTTTTTTATTTTATGCAATTTCTTACAGAAGTTTGAAAAACCATTACCAAATTGAAAACATACTTTCAAAAAATCTGACATTCACCACTGCGAATGTCAGATTTCACCATTTCTATCGACCCTTGTCTCTATCTCATTATCATATCTCTCTATCCAATTCTGCAAATGGAAGAGAGCAGCAGTCACATGATTGCATGTCTGAGGGCTGTACAAGTACAATGAATTACTAGAATTTTACCAGTTTCTCTGAAGAAACAAAACCAAAGTTTATGCGGTATGTCATTTATTCTCTGTAAGGGTCTACAAGTTCCCCTTAGCAAATAAACTTTACTGTCTCCAGTGTTGTGGTTAAACTTCAAAGGAACTAACCATTCTTGTGAGAAGTAGCAGTGAACTTTTCACTTTTATAGCCATCAAACTCAACAGAAAATTCTTGTTGAACTTTTTCCTTAGTTTTCTGAACAGAAACATAACTTTAAACAGCAACAAAAACTCTTGCCACTATTTCTTCCTTTTCCCCTGTTACCCATAGTTTACACAGTCGCAGAAACCCTTTTAATTCCTCAACTTTTATTCATGAAATCGTGGCCAAATCCACAAGAATAAGATTAGGCCAGAAGCAAACACAATGGACTTCTGCAAGCTTTGAGCGCTTTGTATTGAAAAGGTTTTGAAAAGCTCTTTAAAAGCTTATGATTTTAAAAAAGGAATTTCAGCAAGTAAATGCAAAAAAAATGAAAACGGCAGGTTAAAATGAAGATAATAACCTTGAGAATCACAAGCAACATGCAATCTTTCTTGGTATACTCCTACAAAGCTCCGAAATTTTTCACCCCAAAACTAGACTCCGGATCGACAAGGAGGCCAGGAACATCAATGAGTACAATTTGTTGCATACACTGCGCACAAGGAACTAGTTTAATCAAAGCTGTAATTTGATGATCAAAGCATGGATAAATTTATTTGAAGCAGGGAAATTTTAAGTCGAAGTAGTTTTTGATGGTGGCCTGGATGAGAATGCTTTTACAGATAAACAATGTAAAAGACATAGCTGGAAGGGGTAACTCCCATTGCATCAATAGATAAGGCGTTGTTTGTTGCTGTTGACCACTCAGCAAGCATAGGAGAAAAGTCAATCAAAGAGTAAGGTCTTTAAGAGTCAGTTGTTCCATGCACGGACAAGAGCGAATGAAATCAAACACAGTATGGACACTCCAAACAGATTTATACTTAGGAAATGTGGGCGCAATTGGAAGACACCACGCCTAAAACGTCTGAAATTCGGGAGGTCTCCAAAAGATATTTCATCATTACTAGAGTTTATTTTGGAACTCAGTGCACTACGACTGGTGTTGATACAGCTATACGGGAGGCCAGATTAAAAAAGCAAGGCTAGAAAGAGCACAGCATTATGAACATTTGGTTGAACTGGATTGCAGCCATGTTGAATTTCTCCACAAAGCCATAATGACATCTATAGAGGGGGTCGTGAAACCCTGCAATGAGAGGGCTTCTCGTATACTAGAAAAACCATTAACTGCAGTTTGCGGAGAAGAGGATGTTGTAATTGAGGCATTGTTGGTAACTGCAACAGGTTTTTCCTTGGTCTCAGATGGACAGGTGGAGCACACAGCATCTTTTTTAGAATGGGAAACCACGGTTGAGTAGGCCAGTTTGAAGTTACAAGAATTTTGTTTGCTCGATCTTGTTGATTTTTTTTGTAGGGCAAGGAGATTGCATCTAAATGGAGGGAATGAATAAAACTCTAGATTACTCCAAGGGAGGGTAAAAGCATTCATTACCTTTGCATCGGGATTGTGCCTAAGTGAGTAGTATTTATCCAACTAACTACTGAGCCTTGGGGCAAAAAGATCAATGTCCGGTTTAAATTGCAAGCTAGATAATGCATTCTGTAGAACATTTGAGTTCAACATCCATTCTACATCTTGTTTAAAAAAGTTTCTTGATTCCCTATCAGCAATAACATTGGGTTTGCCTGGAATGTGACATGCTGTCAACCAAGGTTTGTTTTCGTTACAAAATTACCAAATTTTTACTGCTCCCAAACTTCAAGTAACGTTGTAAATTACTTTAGATGGGAGCCATGTTCCATTTGTAGGAATACCGTTAAACGTTGCTCCCCAACCCAGGGGGGAAACATCTGAGAAAATGTTAGCTTGAACAGGTGGCAGTCTAATATAACCGAAGCTCCTATCTAGGTTTTTAAGCCACCAGATTACTTCAGCAAAAGCAAGTTTGGTAATGGGCATGGTTGTAACAAAATTATCAATGCAAGATTTAAGACCTTTATTTTTTCATCTTCAAGGTGTCTGTACTGAATGCCTCCAAACAGAACAGCTGTGGGTTTTCAAATTCGATCATATCACTAGAGATGTATCTAAGATATATGGATCTGATGTCAGCTTTTTTCAATTATGTAAATATTGAGAGATCTGGCCTGCAGAAAATTTTTTAGGTTAGTAGTGCGAACTTCCTGTATAGTTTTAGGCAGATCGTCACCAAAAAATAAGGTAGTTGGTTTGGTGGTACGCCCGCATGCCGCCTTAAATTCAGGAGAGATCGAGGGGCGTAAACTTTCTTTTCGATGATATGAAAGTTCACTACAGACATAACCAAGAAGAGTTAAAATGTCAATCTCGCGAGAAACCATACTCTGGCAATCAAGGTCCTTTTTCATCTCGCGATACTTTAGGCTGTCCTCATTGGACATGGCAACAGCAGTGGAGGCTTTCAATAGTGCATCTTGCAATAAACTCGTGTTTTTGTCAATTTTTTTAGGATTGGCACTCAAACAATTCCAGATTTCGTGAGTAACTGTAGGTGATAAAGGCCCATGCAGTTTTCTGGCACTGAATACTTTTGAGAAGAGTTTTTGGTTGTAAGGGCCCATATTTGCAAAGTCTTATTTTGAAATATTAAGAAGTAAGCTGCATATTTTGGTCCAAAATTAAGAAACTAGTGGAAAAAATTTTCTATTGTTCTTCTCATGTTAGTTATGTTTGTCAATACTAAACAACTTTTACACCTAGGTCTAAATTTTGTAAACAATATTTTTTAACAGTAATGTGGCCCTGGCCTGCATTGCAGAGTTTCTTAAAGGTCATATGAACCGAAAAATGATTTTCACATATTTGGTAGAGCTTTTTTCGCTTGTCAAGACACCGTTTCCCGTTTCTTTCTACGACTTGAACTTGTCTAGATATATTGCGATCGAAAGCCCGAAAAAGTGAC